AAGCAGTGGTATCAACGCAGAGTACTCTTACCTGTATTGATCGCCGAACTGTGAGCTGACGAACTCACGCCCTCATAAAAATCGTTCGAAATTTTGAGATCGCATGTTTTGGCCAAATATCGCCGCGAATGGTTACAGATGACTCTGATTGCAGATATTATGTTTACATACACATGTAAATTGATAATTTTTGCCGTATACTGCTGCTTACCCCTTGTGCCAACTCTTACACCTGTAACTCAAAGTTTGCAAAAAATCGATAAGCCGATATCGACCGATGACGAAATGTAATCTATCAGTCCAGCTCGGCTCCTAAGGCTGGGTTCATACTGATTCCCATGTTCCAGAACTATCCCCGCACAGTCTCGCACTGTTCCCGCATTGTGCTGGGAACTGTGCGGGACTGTGCGGGGATAGTTCCGGAACATGGGAATCAGTATGAACCCAGCCTTAGGAGCCGAGCTGGACTGATAGATTACATTTCGTCATCGGTCGATATCGGCTTATCGATTTTTTGCAAACTTTGAGTTACAGGTGTAAGAGTTGGCACAAGGGGTAAGCAGCAGTATACGGCAAAAATTATCAATTTACATGTGTATGTAAACATAATTCTGCAATCAGAGTCATCTGTAACCATTCGCGGCGATATTTGGCCAAAACATGCGATCTCAAAATTTCGAACGATTTTTATGAGGGCGTGAGTTCGTCAGCTCACAGTTCGGCGATCAATACAGGTAAGGGCCTAGTTCAAGCATGCTCTAAGAGCACTGCCTCTAATGATTTCAAATTACAAAAAGGGGCAGGTAAGTTGTCCAACAGACACGTGCAAAGGACAGACAAACTTAGGAACTTGCGAAGTACCGCAGCATTCCTCTCAGCATAACTCTGCCAAAAGAACTTATGCTGCACAGAGGGCACTATTTCTGTAATCATCAAGTCCGAAAACCTCTATGGGCGAAGTTTCCGGTCAATCCAAGATCATCAGTATCTTAGCCAAAACCCATCGGCGAGCTTCACAGCGCAGAACGAGAAAAAAATGAAAGGTTCCGAATTCCTTGGAAAACTTGCGCATAGAGGTTATCTAACCTGCTGATCACGAAAAACACACCTGCTTTGCAAATTAGCGTCTTACTGTATGGTTACGGTAACGAAATTTGAGAGACATCGATTTTTTCAAAATTAACTGGCCTATCTTCCCCTATGGAAAGGGAATCGTTCGCTACTCGCTAGTACATGATAATCTACGGGGACAGCACTACTGAGCCATGTTTACGTTAATCGTCCATGTGTGTTCTTCGCTGAGTTACACCACTACGAATACCCGTCCTCACACAAAAATCGAGCAGATTGAAAACAGAATACTACGAGAGTGCAGTACGTCAGAAGATTCATCTTAATGAGCTGAGCATCATGCTTTCTTCGGATTTGTATTTTATGCAATTTGAAGGAAGTTATGAAGAAAAAACAAAAAAACGCGGATCGTCAGTTTTTGCGTTTTCTGTCGAATAATTAGTGTGGGTACTGTAGTTCAACTTTCATGCAAATGCAGTGCAATACCTTGTAGAGCTGACTTTGCTTTATCGAATACAGAATCACGTAATCTATTAAAATATGACTTAATACGGTTAATGCGGTCACCTGTTTTAGAGTGAGATTCAATATTACAACCAAAAAATTTTCAACGATTTTTTCATAGAATTTGAATAAGTGTTCAATATGAAAGGCCCTATAATAATGTTGATTCATGTTCGGGTGTCCTTGATAATGATTGTAAAGATCCTTCTTCGGAGAGGTTTGGTACTATAGTTGCAAGAAAAAAAAGGTTTGGTACTATATTTGCAAGAAAAAACAATTTGAGCTAAATATTTTTAGATGCTATTTGCATGCCAAAACGATTCTACCCAGCCTAGTATACTTATTAGATCGATGCAAAAGTCCTTGCATAAGTCAAACAAAATCGATAACTTACTGAAATCTAAAACTAAAATGGCTTGTTCAAAAAGAAGTGGGTTTTGCACTTTAAGATAATCATCCAAATTAATCTTTTCGTTGGCTATCCTCAGAGAAACAAGCCTCCAAATCTTGGGGTGTATGTCAAGAGGCGCGATTTCTATTGCCAGCTGGACACCAAAAAGCACATAATAAGTGCTTTACAACTTCCTGAAAGTATATGAAATTTAGGAAAAGATATATTAGATAGTTGCATGGGTTGCTCAACCTTTATACTCAGAAAGAAATTCAAAACAGCAATTTTTAAGGTCAAAAACCCATTAAAATGCATGTAAGAACAAATTCGTAGATATTTCAATCCGTTTTAGAGCAAAAACCATGAAACTCAGTGAGTGGTAACCTTAGACAGATAGTAAGCCAACGCACTTTATTTGGTAATTTTTAGAAACTCCCATAGCACTAAAATGGAGTTTTAAGTTGCTGACAGCCGGAGAAATCGCGCCTCTTGACCGTCTCCCCAAATCTTGCACTTCAAAATTCGTAGTTTTGAATTTGTTTGGAAATAGTATGAGAAAGTGCCCACAATTATCCTCAAGAAGTCTCTGGGACGTTCATAGCAATGCTCCGTACGTTAACGTGACAAGCTTTAATCTATGGTAATGTAAAAACAAAACTGTTAAAAATATCCCTTTGCAGAGAAAATTACCTTCTTTGTACCAAAAATATAACCCAATATACTTACTTTGAGTGCTGTAGGGCCTTTTCTGACAAAGGAATGATCAAAATTTGAAGTGGCCAATCCCAACAAGCTGTATACCGTTAAACACTCCATGAAGGGCTGGGTACATATCTGCCTTCATTATCTGCTTCTCGGTCTCCTACACGAAGTTATGCCCTCGATTCCGCCGTGGGGCCGCCGCGCATCATAATACCCTTCGCCCACCTAGCAGTTAGTTGGATTATGGCGCAGTGGTAAGTGTGCAGACTCATGGAACGAGGTTGCCTTTTTGCTTGCAAGTTCGGTTCCTTTTGCTTGCTACTATTTTGCAAACCATTTCCAATATCTATATTGCTAGCGCGAAGTCCCTAACGCACTCAAAAAAGTACAACATCTAAAGACTTCAAAAACTTTATTTTTTATCGTATAAACTCTCTTGAGAATTGAGGATGATCATGGTTGAAAGCAAGAACAAAAATGTTGATGAAAAGGAATGCAAGAACGAACAGAAGCGAGCAGCAAAAAAGATGGAGCTGAAATTGATAAACAGAAACCTAATTTTTGGCCTGATGAGATAGATTCTTTCGGTCAGCTTGAGTGCGCTTCAAAAAGAAGGCTTAAAAATTGTACTGAATCAAGAGATACATTTCATACGTTGTGCCTATGCGAATCCCTCCTATGCTTTCAGCATTTTGTTCTTGCCTTCCATAACTGCTCATAATGATTTTTATCCGAATTAGCTTGTATTCTCAAATTACAGAAAAAATAAAGTTTTCGAAGTCTTTAGATGTTCAATTACCTTTTTAACAGTATTAACGACTTCGGGCTAGCAATATAGATATTTCGAATGGGTTGCAAAAGAGTAGCAAGCAAAAAGAATCGAACTTGCAAGCTAAAATGCAATCACGTCCTATGAGTCTGCACACTTACCACTGCGACTTCAGTCCAACTAGTTGTTATATGGGCGAGGAGTACTCAAGATGTGCGGCGGCTCCATGGCGGAATCGAAGGCCATAACTTCGTGTAGGAGACGGAGATAATAAAGGCAGATATGCACCCCCAGCCCTCCATGGAGTGTTCAACGGTATACAGCTTGTTGGGATTGGCCACTTCGAATTTTGACCATTCCCTTGTGAGATGTCAAAGTGTTTATAAAAGGCAATATTAAGGGAATTGCCTTGCAATCACATCGTTCACGAATTTTCGCACTTGCATGTCTATGCTATTCCATCAGCCAGCAGGTTTCGAATGAGACCAGTAAAGGCGTGGAGCGATCGGGGCTCGACCACTGCGCGAAGGTGCGAGGAGCTTGCTGTAGTGTGAATGCTTGTACGAATGGAGGTGCTAGAAACTCATGCGTCCCCTCCAAATGTGAGTGGCGGAATTTATGGACAATAGCGCGCTATTGGGCAGGCATCTGTCAGTTGGGTGCGCACCCTTAGCAATGCCTCTAGCTTGATCGACGAGTTTTCTGCACTACAGGTTTGACACTGGTTCATGTATTGATTAGTCTACTGAAAAGAGTTCCTGATAGTAAACTGGAAGCTTGTACGAAGCTTCTTCCGAGTTTCTTCTAAAAAAATCCCTAAAAAACCTTGTATTGGTTTCTTTTGGTTTTCCAATTAATGGGGTACTTTTGTGTTGACTGAAAGTTCTGAAGTTTAGCTGAGTTAACTTTGTGATTGACCGAGTGCGTGATATGCAGTTATGAAGTGTGAAAGGCATTGTCGCCTAACTCAAGCATGATTGTCTAATGACCTCATACTTTCAGACAAGATCACAAGCAATTTCGCATGAGTTACTAATCAATCGATAAAACAATGTGGATGCCTACTTTAGCGTTTTTGAAATAATGATAAAGTAGTTCACGCTGTCAGATTAATCGTTTCTAAAAAACTGCGTAAAAATTCATGATCAGCATCATCGTGCTAAACCTCCATCTTGTTATAAAGCTGAATATCCTATCTATATGTATGTATTTATGTATGCCTGTCTGCGTGTACGTATGTTCCGGATGGAAAATTTCATTTCTGAACCGATCCGGACCAAATTTCACACACATACACTTCAGGGCGGGGCGGGCGTCGTAGGCTACTTTTCGTCGCCCTATGTAGATTTTATCGATTTTCATTGATTTTTCGTAAAGTTTGGCCTGGAGGGGGGAGGGGGTGGGCGTTGGCACTGGGGGGGAGGCAATCGAGCATGCTGATTACGATTACAATATGAGTTTTTGATAATGCCCATCACTTCTGTTGATTTTACCGATTTTTTGTAAAGTTTGACGGACGGGGCTGGGACTTGGCGCAGAGGGGTAAGTGAGCATGCTGATTAACACAGCGGGAATTGGGAATTGGCAGGTAAAAGTGGGCACAGGGAAAGGTTGCACAGAGATAGGGATAAGACCTTTATTATAGTGTTTTTGACAGAATTGGGCGGAGCCGGGTAAGCCAGCTAGTTTATCCATAAAAACAACAAATCCCTCATAGAACGAACAGTTGCATCGTTTACAAACATTTATTTCCCTCCATATTTTGTTCTGCTCAGTTTATGAGGAACACAGCGACGCCTTCGAAGCTCCCAGAAAAAGAACAGGGTGATTAATTCCATTTCAAAAAATGATTTTAACTGCAAATTTTATGTTTCCTAATTGATGGTATGTTGAGTTCAGTCATTATACCTATGGCGTTCAAAAACAACTTTCCATAAAACATGGGATAGTTGAAAAGCTTCATGCAAAAAGCGGTTCAAATTCAACAACTATATATGCGTTTTTTCTCCAGGCTTCGCCATGGGCCTATTTTGATATAAAAACCTATTTTGCGGTTCGTACTCTCAAAGTACCGCTCAGATAAAAAAGCGTGCAGAAATTTGAGATATTGTATTTGTGAGCATATATGGCATGCATGAATCAGTATACAGAGTTTAATTTACAACAAGATTGCAGTAGAGGACTTTTTCTACAAAATTTGATTCCCATAATTACAGGATTCGTTCATTATACGATCGAAACCGAGATAAAGATTGATGGCATTTCAAACATCGACTTTGTTAAGCAGGTGATTTTTGTCTCTTTGCTATTGTGAGTGCGCTGTTGTTACCAAATGCTATAGAAAATAGAAATAAAAAATGAAAACAATTAGATAGACATCTTTTTCCAAAATCATATATTTTTCACCTTTTTCTAGTGCACGCAATAGGTTTGTATCAGGGCTCAGCACGAGGTGGCTTTTTAATTCTTCCGAAAACGAAGTTCCCACTGATTTCGCAGCTAACATACGACATCTCCTATGACCACTAATGATTGAAACAAACAAAACGAGCAAAGAAGAATACAAGTGGAAAAGAAAGAACACGAAATTGACGGTAAGAACAAGTAATCATTTTCGTATTCATCGAATTGGCGGCATACTTTGTCCATCGCGCACCATCGCGCGCCTGGAGCAGCATTGCCGCCGCTACACAAAATATTTCGAGGGCTGTAACTAGGCGGGGAGTTGGGCGTTTGAGGAATTTTAAAACTGGATTGTAGGGATTTGGATTTAGAACAAAACTATGTAAAAATTTTGAAAGAATTATGTGAAGGGAGTAGAATTTATACTTTTTCTTTTTACAGCCACCTCAGGTGGCTGTCTAGGTGTCTGTAAAGCCACCTAACTCCTAAAAAAATTAGCCACGACTTTAGTTCACTTAAGTTTTTCATAATTTTTTATACATAGTTCCACCTCCCCATTGCCCATCTACACATCTACATTTTGGTGTTATATCATTTCCCCTCCGCTGTAAACATGGCTTTTGTCTACCTCGGGGCGTATTTTTGAATTCCCGCACTTCCACGGATAGCATATTGGAGCGGGAAATTGTTGATTTTGCAAAGAATGGAGTTCTACAGGCAGTGATGAGCATTGTGATGTCTCTAGAAGATGGGTAGGTGTTAGAAGGGCGAGGGGGGGGGGGAATGCAATGTGTGCTTCGCCAAGGATCCCACAGAAACGATATCCCCTTTGCTTCCTACTCCAAAACGATATCCAGCCTGCCCGGTAAGCCGCCTGTGCCGAGCCCTGGTTTGTTTACGCTTGCTCAAAGCATTTTTCCTTTGGAATTCTCTAGCTTTTGATGTTTATGCGCATCATGACGCCTCCCGGTTTACCGTAATTCTCCGCTTACGTTTCTCGCTTTGCATCAATTTTTTTTGAATTATGTGGCTTTGGAAACGTAGCTCCCACAACAATATGGCAGGAAATATTTTCGTATTTCAAAGCATTCGGACTGGTGCCAAAGCGGCTTGAAAAAATAAGGAAATCGAGAACTTTCCAGCAGAAACATAAGTTTGAACTGTAGGTTCTGTAGCACCATCTACAAAAACAGTGACTTCGTTCTATCACGATGTACTTGCATAAATTCAGTTTTATCAAAAGAGTAACTCATATTCTTTCTAGAGGTTCGTATACTCTCAACTAAAGATAAGCTTTACTCGCAGAAAACTGCAAAAAGGACATTCTAGATTCGGTGCTTGAGGCAAGCCGTTCGGAAATTGAAAAACTGTGCCATAAAATCTGAAACAGTAGAACATAAGTTTGCGATTTCCTCTAGTTGAGCATTGTGCTGATCGAGCCATTTTTTGAAAGTTATGAGTTCCAAGAAAAAATTCCAAAAATTAATTTCCTTGACAGATTGTTTTGGCATTCTGTCTCGAAAATCGTAGCTTTTCAAAAAGGCTCGATCAGCACAAACTTTGCTCGCTAGAGGAAATCACAAAGTTTTGAACTGTTTCAGATTATTTTTGCAATTTAATCTCTGTGAGTGAAGCTTAGTTGAGAGTATACGAGGTACCTCTAGAAAAAAGATGAGTTGCGTCTCTAATAAAGTTAATTTTATGCAGTAAATTGTGTTAGGACGAAGTTGCAATTTTTTAAAGAAAGTGCTACAGAAATATAGTTCAAACTTATATTACTGTTGGGAAGTTCTTGAGGTATGGCTAATAAGAACAAGAGTTACTCTTTCTGTTAAAATGGATTTCATGCAGGGCCCTTTGAAAAAAGGAAGAAGTAACGATTCCTTGAAAAAGGTGTGGCAAAACTTTCGGTTCAACCCTATATTGATGACAATCTCCTCCAACATTTGTACATTTGGCAGAGATCTTGCAATTCTTTCTGTCATTCTGAGAAGACCTAGAAGATTTGCTGAAAGTTAAATTCATCGATACATATATAGAACCCAAAGTTTGTAATATGTTTCCGCGAAGTATGTGTTGATAGAAATTGAGTGAACTACGAAGCGCCAAACTTTGCACACATGTATTTGCAACCCCTGCGCACGCGATAGGCTACTTTTTGCGGCAATTCGCTCATGTCTTCTATCGATTTATTGACTTGTTTACTTACATCAAGGTAAATGAAGGCTTAGAAATCATTATCTGGTTAGTACCAAGTAAGCATGTAAAAGGAGTGTACAGGGTGCGGTGTTTCGAAGCGCGGTCAGGAAAGAAGACAAGTCCACCACAGATGTTTTGCTGCCCGGATTTGGAACAGGAGCAGGGAGAAAAGAGGGGGGAAGGGGACAGGGGAAGAAAGGAATCAAAGGTAGGGTGAGTCTTCTTCACCCTCTTCGATCTAAATAAATATTATGTAACCTTCGTCGGGCCCACGGTCCAAGCGAACCGAGAAAGCTGGCTAGTACTATAAAACGTTGTTGGTCATCTGATATAACCCATTAGAACTCACTGCAAGTACACAATTTTTTAACAAAATTCATGATACTGACCTCTTGCTGTGAGATTACTAGTCGGGACCCTAGCGTACGACCCTGGGGTTAAAAACAAATGTTGTTTTTCGTAGTCAGTGTCTTCAATGACCAACCTCCCACCTCTACTCGACTTTTGGATACATGCTTTGCAAATGAGGTGTAGTCGTGCCCTCCCACTAAACACGTAGTGGACGAATTTGAACTGAATTAAAGCACGCCAGTTGCGTCAGAGCGCGGCAAATGCAGCCCTTACTTCATTCTCAAACAGGTTTTCTTGTATGTTTTGTATGTTCCGAAGTTTCATTCTTTTTTCTGATTGTTAACAGTCTCTCAATTGAGATTGAAGACTCTCTTGCTTTTAATCAATGTTTCGTGCTGGTATGCTCTTTTTTTAACTCTGATTTCAGGTCAACCTTGGAGATACGATTAAGTTTGAAACTGTGCTAGTGAAATCTTTTTCCAGACATGTCTTGAATGTTGTTTCATTGAACTCTATGTCAAGAACTTCTCATATGCATCGTTTTTCCAACTTACCTGAAAATAGAGCTAGATTAATGAACATAGTAGCAAGAAACACCGCTAAGCAACAACAAACTCGTCGATTCTGATTATAAACGCCATGAAAACTAAAAAAAAAACCATGCAACGACAAGGTACAAAAGAATACTGCGTGAGCTTGAAATGAATTTGACGGTGCCGCGCTCTACCGCAAGCGGTCTGCTCTCGTTCAGATTCATTTCGCCGAACATGTGTCTAGTGGGGGAAGGACGACTATACTGTGCCTAATTCCGAATATGATCGCAATTAGAAGTTAATACTGAGAGGAAAGGATTCAGGCCAAATGTGTACATCCTCCGAAAGCGAATATGTAGTCTTGACAAAAAAAACAACATATGAGGGTGCTCTCCGCGAGACGTGAAACATGAAAAGAATTGTGAATTCTAGGATATGGTTTTGAAGTTCGCTTACTAGTGTTGGTGCTGTGCGCGGAGCGCGCTTTCCCATCCTCCAAATTGCCATACAAGTATTGTTTGGGATTGTAGCAAGTGAACCCGCTGATGCTTCGGACGGTTTCATACTATTAATAACACTACAAACATAGTCCACGTCAATGTGAAGAAATCTAATATGTAAGGCTAACCAAGGAGCAACCTAGGCTCTCCCAGATTGCGCGGGAACCTGGTCTAGAAAAATTCTTCCAATCTTTGAGTTCACGTAGGTTCAATTTTCATACATTGTTTTCCTCTATAAGCAAATTCATCAAAAGAAGATCTATCGTTTTCTGCTTTGCAAACAAGCCCATTAGTTTATCTTCCGGCATGAAAAGAATCCGTTCTCGATTTTCGCGCGCAGCCGAAGTGTTCGAGCACAGAAATGTGCAGTTTTTTGGAGTTTGAGTTCATTGCAGTTCAACAGCGAGGAAGGCTAGAAAAACTACACTGCTACTTGCATATAGCGTTTGCTGTCAGGACAGGCAGAGGTGATGGCGAGCTTACCCAGAAAAATGCGTCGGAGGTTTTTGTAGGTGTTCCACAGGGCTACAAAACATAACTTGGTTTTATTCTTAAAAGCAGAGATTCGATTGAGCTTATCAAAAAATTGTTGTATTTTAGGGGTCCCCTCCTTTTTAGACACCACTGAAACGGGGAGAATTTTCAAGGCACTATGCTGCAAATTCTGGAAAGTAAAAATACAAGAATCACTAATTCTAAGAAAGCATCATGCACATCCCCGCTGGGGAAGGGATCGCAGCTCAAAAGAAACGCTTAATAAATATCCTAAAGCTCCAGATATCTGGATTTCACGTTGTCTACCTATCCCTAAGTATTCCTACTATACTTCACTATGAACATATCGAACAGGGGCAAGCAGCTGTACAAGCCGCGTTTTCCAGCTTTTTGTATGGTCCCCTGATGATCCCCAAAGCCCGGCCGTCTTTTCTTAAAAGTCATTTTTCTTTCTTCGAAGTCAAAGAAAACCTTTCAAAGCTATACCGATTATTCAACTCAACAGTGCTGAGCATACTGCTGGTAAGAACAAATGAGTTTCCAAATCATCGAATTTTTCGTTAAACCCCAACTTGCGACTTGTGGTTCATGGCAAATTTCATGATTTCAACACATCACTTGTTCTTATGAAACCTGCTTAGCACTGTTTGATTAGATAATCAGTAGAACTTTCGCACATTTTCATTAACCCTGAAGAAGGAAAAATGACGTTGAAGAAAAGATGGTCGGGCTCTAGGGATCATCAGGGGATTGAAAATCTGGAAAATGCGGCTTGTACAATTTTTTGCTCCTGTTTAATTTGTTTATTAAACGATAATAGGAATACTTACGGATAGGTAGACAATGTGAAATTCAGATATCTGAAGCTTCAGGATACAAAGCTTTTCTTTTAAGCTGCGATCCCCTCCCCAGCGGGGATGTTAATGCATGTGGGCCTGAGGCAAAAACGACATCCAGCTTGCGAAAGCGCCGCCGCCGCCGCCGGGCCCTGCATATGAAACTTTTGAATTGTTCACCAGTCTTTGCTCTGAGACTTCATGGTTAAAAAGAGCGCAAAAACGCTAAAGAATTATCTACGATTCCCCTGGAAGTTTGATCTAGTTATAACACGAGTACGCCTTCTACATTACAATCCATCATCTGGTCGTTGCATGAAAAATATCCAAATATTCAAATAAATGCACTCTCTTAAACACTCTATAATCAATACTCAATAATCAAATAGTCGCATTCATTCAAATATTCGACAGCTCATATCCTAATATTCCAATCTTTCAAATTATTTGAAATCGATCAAAATATATTCTATAGCCAGAGTACGTACATAACACTCGACAGAGGCAGAAATGTTATCCTTCAGTCATCTATAACTTGATATATATGTGAGTCTGCACCCATTCGGCAACCAACGACCCCTTACTAGTAACTCCTCAGCAGAACTTTTCCTAGTGCAACGAACTGTAGAAGTATGTTCTGCTAAGTGATACACATCCAGTTAAATAAAAGAAGACAAGGAGTGGGAACACTGGAAAGCAAGTTCTAATCTCACAGCTCAGGTAGCGCGCATGGTGTGCAATACATATATTAAGTTACAAACAACCCGACAATATTTCCTCCATTCTACTTTTCTATGATTAATGACTTTTAGACTTTTCACATACAAGTGGAAGTCGAACAATATCTAATGGATTTGAAAACTCGTCATTGGCAGAAGTCAGAAGCTCTTGAAAAGCCTGACAACGTATTCCGGGACATCAAGTTTGATGTTGTCCACAGTGAAGTACTGGAATATGTAGAGTTTGCTAAAGATTATGCAAACGTCACAGGCGTAAGACGAAGGTGGGTTTCCATTTTGATGTTAACCTTTGCGATTTTTGTTGTCTAACTTTGTTTCAGAGAGATGTTAACTGTTCTATGTGGGATCTCCCACTATTTTCCTTTGGACACCCATACATGTCTCCTGAAAATGATTTCAAGTCAGTGAGGTTTTTCGTGCTTTTTTGGGAATTTTTTTCATTCAGCTAACTGGAGGTGGTTTAACAGAAATTTTTTTAAGGGAAAATACCGTCGGACGAACTTCTTCTTAAATGGCGTAACCCGCCACATACGTCTGTGCCTACACTGAACGTGCCATTTTTAGTACTGAGCAAGGTAAAAACATTTTTTGTCCTTTCCTACAGCATAGCTGCAGAGGAAATAAAAGCTGGATGTGTTTGTTTGTAACATCTTTACCACACAGTTTGCTGAACAGCATTATTCTCATTACTGAATCATAGTCAATTGCTGCTCCGACTTTCGCTGCAAATTGAGAAAAGCGGATTGAACAGGGCAGGAAAAGGAGGAAAGTAGGAAGAGGAAAATGAAAAAAGTTGATATGCTCTGAGTAGCTAGATTTCGATGTTTTCTTTATGCATACAATTTTTGAATTCTCATCAAGCGTCGCTAAACGTGTATATTGTGGGTGTCTGCCGAATGACTTTCCAAGAATTTTCGGGAGAGGAAGAAGAATGATAGAAAGTTCTTATTGAACGCTTGGAGTCAGTCGGAGCTCCGAAATAACTTTGTCTTCCTATAATTTTGCCGGTTTGTAATTCCTTATTCTTTCTCTATACAATTGTTGAATTTTGAAACTTTTGAGTTTTTAGGTAGGTCCGGAAATTCTGTCATTTCATTTCAGAAAGTCGCAACTTCTCGCTCTCGAGACAGATTTGCTCTGCTGAAATTTTATCAGAGAGAAGCGCCTACTTTGTATTACTTCTTAGCGGGTTTCTCAGAACACTGGTTGGAGAATTAAAATTGAATGAAAAAGTCACTCGAGCTTTGATCTTTCAAGTTAAGCCAAAGGTCTGAAAAATTGCAGAAAAATCCGGAATCTGGTTTCCGGGAGTTTTACAACATATTTCTTCCATGTGAAAAGTTTGTGTTAGTTGGAGGTTTCTATGAAAAGTTATGGTTTTTAAGTTTGTAATAAATGACGTTAATCACTTTGTCATTTTCCCAAAAATCACATTTTTTCATAGAGACCTCCAATCAGCACATACGTTTACAGTTGGAAAGTTTAGGTATCGTAACACTTATAACACCAACGATCTCAGAATTTTCCGCAACGGTTCAGATCTTTCTCAAAATGCTCAAAGCTTGAATGATCTTCTTCATCCAACTTTATCTCGGCAACCAGTGTTCGGGAGAAATACGATTAGAATGAAATGACAAAACTTTCAAACCTACCTACTATTTTGGTTATTTACAAGGAAGAGTAGGTCAGATAGGTAATAGATTTTTGCACCAATTCTCTGAGGCCGCCACTGTGTACATTCAGTATTTGCCTTTAGGTGACGCCTATCACATGCATGCATAACTTGGGACTAACATCTTCAAATTCTGCAAGATCAACATTTGGTAGATATACCCAATCGCTGGTTTCAACTCCTTGACTTCATCACTCTTCAGTGTCGCACGCGTGTATAGGCATCCGACTCGAGCTCAAACGACCGTTATCCACAGCTCTCTATAGGTTTTACATACCGACTTCATTGATGCTCTTCATGGCATGGTTATGTTTCTACATTGATCGCGCCAATTACGGTATCAGACTGATGCTTATATTAGCCTCTATAGCACTGCAAATAACCTTCGTAAGTTATAAATAATAATTAGATTCTATAAGAATGTTTAAACCTCAGCTTTCAGTGTTCTTTATTTATTTATCTCTCCGGTATCTATGTTGCCACAATAACGCCGGCCGATGTATGGTGCGCACTGCTAGCTGTTCACTCCAGTGCTGTAGTTATGTTTGTAAGTCAAAACTGATCATAAGACTAGGGAAAAAATTCGTATTTCTTGCAACTTCTTCAAGAGGAAAATATTCAACAACAGAGTCTCTCCCCTAATTTGCAACAAAAGCTGACCGCGTAGCGGGCTACAGAAGAAAATATTGAGAGAACACCTGCAAATATTTAGCTCCATTGCAAAACGGAGTGAAATTTTATTGGTGTCTCATTTATCACTCCTACGGCGATGCAATTTATATCAGTGTTTCCTTGAGCTGTACACCGCTCTCATAAGTGGATAGAGCTGTTCAGCTTTTATGTACTGAGGTCTTAGCAATTTCTGAAAAGCCTCGAAAGACTGAGAGTTGCACTTACATTAAAGAGGGCATCGGTGAGCAAACAAAGCAAATTTCTCAGGAGCCATATTGTCTCAAAGTTTTACCCTATCGTAGGCAAGAATCCCCCCCCCCTCTCCTTTACACTAGGAACTTGGTGATTCTTTGACTCTTGATATATCGCCTAGAAAATCTTTTTTTGTATTCTGTCATATCTAGCTGTATGGCAAGTATCACAAAACGTCAACATACACCAGCATAACGACTGTTTAGCCACGCACTCCGATATTTTTTTCGGGATGCTTCTCTTTTTTGTGGTCTCCATAAACCATGACGGTTTTGAAAGTCTCGTCTCTTTCAGGGGTCTAAACGAAGATCATAAGCTTATTTGAATCTGAGCAATACACCTCCAAGAGCCTTCCCCGGCTGTGCCATTCCAGACTTAATAAAAAACTAGCAGCACGAGAACATGGAGAATGGGGACTAATGAGTTTGCATCCTGCGCATTTCAATAAGTCCGCAAGGGGTTAATAAGTGTCACCCAGTGAGCCAAGGCTTTTATGCGCGGTCGTGAGATTGCATGGCTATAGATGCCGAAGGTCACTGCTGATTTTATGGACATTGACCAGTAGTAGTTCCCTGTTCAGCGCAGCTCGGTTGGGGTGGGCCTACGTTGTACGTAGGACGCCTGTCCGTCGTCCTGTGAGCTATCGATCTGGATCAGGGCTCAGCAGAGGTGGCGCTTTCTCACGCTGGAAGTCGTTTTTTTTAGAGGGAAACAAAAGGGAAATTTCAGTGTTTCCAGGGTGATGCCGGATCTAATAAAATATGCACAATTCTTACTCTCATTGTAATTGAGCCCGAATTCGAGGCTCTAGCGCCATTTCACCACTAACAGGTAAACTAACATGTTACAAACACGATTAGCGCACGAACTTGTGCACACGATTTCCAATTTGTTAAAACACGATCTTTATACAAAAAATTAACAATTCAATTTGTTTACAACCACTAAACAACAATGAGCCATCAACTTTGATATATAGCTTCGCGACGATGGTGAAAAGAAAAGTATGAAAAATTTTGAAAAATTATATGATTGAAAGGAGTTGTAAGTGTTTTTTTAAATTTAGGTTGCTCCCTCGCAACCTGGGAGCACCCTAGGGTTGCGCGAAACCAAGCGAAGTCATAATTTACCCCCTTTCTCACATAAATTTTGGAAAGTTTCACATTAATCTATTCCTTGGTTCAGCTCTACTTATGAGTACCCACTTTAACCCGAGTTTCGATCCTACTCCTTTGCTACGGCACTTGATGACATAAAAAACCTCATTCTTTTCGCGTTCTGTTGTTTTATCTCTATCTTTCCTTGTTTTTCTTCACTTTTATCCAATCATCGTTCTGTGCAGAGTATAAGCCGTACTTCCATAAGGCCACAAAACGTTATTCGTAAATCTTTGCAACGTTAATGGGAATTTCGTTTCCAATTCCTCGAACGCCTCGTGCTGGGCCCTATCTGGATGTTTATCGCCATAAGAACGTGATAGTTGTAGGCTTTGAGAAAGGAACCAGTTGAATAGGTTTTATCGAATGGTTAAGTGATTTAGATTTAACACGCAAGGCCGTGGTTCGAGATTAGCACCAAGATATTTGCTGCACTACCAGCCATTCTTCGATAAACACCGCCATCAGGGATTTTGTTAAGCAAATGAAGAGATAACTCAAATTCACAATATTTTGGCATGCTTACCAGTGCAAATTTTCTATAAATTTCAAAAAATGAAAGGATAAACTTACAGGCCCCGTAAAATCCAATTGCCCACGCGTCGCTTTGAACACCAACGCGCGGCGCGGCTGACGTTTGGTCCCGAAGCGCTACAGGCTTTTCGCGAGCGACAATGAGCGCACACCCTATTTACACATATTTTTTAAACATGTGAAGGGCGCTTTCGTCAAGATATAACTTACATTGACGAGAACAACATGAAAGTTAGAGAAAAATTTTCTGGAATTTAGTGAACGCTGACAGTCGTTCGCGACGACCGCTCGCCTACGCTGGTGTTCGAGGCACGGCGCGGACAATTAGGTTTTACGACGCCTATACATCCTTTCCATTTAAAACGGTTTTAGAAAAACGTCATCTGCAAGATACAAAAACCTTTCTTTTTTCCTCGCTACAATCAGCTGTTAATCATGCATTTTTGAGGGTTTTGAACTTCAAGAATACGTCGACTAAATTGTCCCGTAAGTTACGAGCAACTTGCGGAAAATTTGTCTAATTTTTTTCTTTTACATTGTATCTCCCTCTGTTCACCTTAGAATCTACCCTCGACTAAGTGGCATTATGTTGAACTGACCGTGATACTTGACAGGATGGTCTTCTTATTGTTCAACTGACTATGTTGAAGCACGGAAGGTGAGCGGTCTTAAGTTCCATCTATGAAGTTCTTCTGAATGGCGCATCTCAGGTCAACTGAGATGAACGGGGGTTCACTACGGGCTATTCATTATTGAAATACATTCTTGGTTTCCTCACTTATTTGCGCTGCTATATAAGACTTCCTTGCTCATATCTCGGTCTAAACCAAAATACATTTCACTCCACCATCATTTCCACTGTGACCCCATAAGTTTGTCAGTTTTACGTCCTTTAGCCTTATGCATAGCATTCCACCATCTCCCCTACTTAGCAATTTTTACAGCTCAAACATTCCGATTAGTATACTACACCTACCTTTGCACAATCTCCAAATTTTTTTTAAGAGGCAGAGTGCATTGCCTAGGAATGGAATCTAGAAAGCCTATTTGAAAATGGGCTTTTGCGAATAGAGCTCACGATTAGTCCATGCGGTGCGATGAGATATCACAAAATCATTCATTCCTTACAAAATGCTCTAGTCAATCCTTCCTTAGCTTGTTTCAACGTGTTTACTCAATCTCATGAACTCATTCCCACATTACTGTCTTATATCTAGTTAAATTAGTCCTAACATTACAATGTCAAGCTTGCGGATATTCTATTTTTTCCATCTCCTTACATCTCACAAATCGCTCGTTATTGTTGATGACTGCGCACTACACTGAGATTCCAATTGTACTCAAAATTGGAGTAATATTCAAGCCTTTGCTTTTCAAGACTTTTCTCTGCAAAATGATGATTTTCGTAAGTTTCTTGTTTTTACGTTTCCGTGCGATTAAGGCTTGCGTATGGGCTACTGCTATGTAAGCATTTTCTACATTCTTATTCGGGCTAGCTAGCGGCATCCATGTTTCTTGCGATCAAACTCAAAACCACGAATTTGAAGCGCCGTTTTTGGAAGCTTGGTTCTTCGAGGGCTAATTATCGTAAAGCGCAAGCCTCTTATTTTTGAAATTACAGAGCGTGATAGTTTAGAATTGATGATTTGAAGATCGAATAAACTTATTGAATTACACGGGCACTTTCGCACCAACCTAAAATTTGTAAGCAATCAAGTTTGTTAATGTATATACACATAAATGAATTCAATGCTCGTCCATAATTTTTCAAGTATTGAATGAGCTGAAAAAGCCCATATTTTAAGACATAAAAGAGCTAAAACTCCGTTCACTTATCACCCTAAAAAGGGCTAGTTAACACATTCTCAAAAATCGTAATCAAAATGCAGAAAGACCAAAAATGGCTGCGGGAAGTAAGATGGGTTTTCAAGTTCATTTTAAGTGGAGGTAGATCCATTTTTGCGCCACTTTGAATGGACTTTCGCATGAATCTATCACACACGGGAGCTCAGGTAGGGTGAATCATCTCATGCAGGGCTCGGCACAGGTGGCTTGCTGGATATCGTTTTGGAAGGAATAAAATGCAAGGGGGATTTCGTTGAAGCGGGAACCCAACCCTCTCCCCTCTCCCTCCACACATACATTCGCCTTCTGCCTTTATGTAACCCATCTTCTAGAAGAGATTCAAATTGTCATTTCTGCCTTCTCGATCTGCAAAAACCAAAAATTTTTGTTTCAACCTGTTCGCCGGTTAAGCGCGCGAGTTCAAACCTGCCTCGAAATAAAAAAAAGACTTGTTTAAAGCAAAGAAAAAAATAAAATGACACTGGTGTGTAAATGGGCAATAGGGAGTTGCGAATATGCGCGAAAAATTATGAAAAAGTTATGTGAACTGAAAGCGTGGCAAACTTTTTTAGCAGTTTAGGTGACTTTCCAGCCACCTTGATAGGCACTCAGATAATCGCCGGGGGCAAGCGTTCCGCAAACTCGCGCATTTCTGCAAGTGGTCAGCAGAATTTTGGGGCGTGGCCAAACCTTCAGCGAGCGGTACTTCCTTTACTGTCTAATGTTCTACCAGCGGGCGCCAACACAATCTCTTTCAGCGAGCTCCGGTCAAATTTTCAGCAGGCGTTCGGAAGGTTTTTCAGCAGTTTCGAGCATACGCCGAGCAAATGAGACTCGACATGGCAGAGGTGTCATCGATGATTCAATTACTCAAGTTTGAGGTACTTTCTCTCAGCGGAAAGTACCTGGGGACTGCGCGGTCCTTCACAAGGAACCGTGCGGCCCTCGAAAATTTTATATATTCTCGCGGAAAGACCGCGAGGATGCGGCCACTGCGCCGCAGCTAAACTGTAAGAAAACCCCGATTGTTCTCCAAGCATTCGTCTGAAATTTCGCTAGAATTCTTCCAAATTTCTGCAAGCGGACC